GAGTCTTCTCCAACACCACAATTTGAAAGCATCAATTCTTTGGCTCTCAGCCTTCTTTACGGTCCAACCCTCACATCCATACATGACTGCTGGGAAAACCATAGCTTTGACTATACTTTGTCGGCTATACTTTTGACTATACTTTATCAGCAAAGTCACGTCTCTGCTTTTAAATTTGCTGTCTAGGTGTGTCATAGCTTTTCTTCCAAGGAGCAAGCTTCTTTTAATTTCATGACTGTAGTCACCATATGCAATGATTTTGGAGCCCAAGAAAATAAAACCTGCCACTGTTTCCACTTTTGCCCATCTATTACCCATGAAGTGATGGGGCCAGGTGCCGTGATCTTAGCCTTTTGAATGTTGAGTTTTAAGCCAGCTTTTTTTCTCTCCTCTTTCCCCCTCGTCAGGAGACTCGTTAGCTCCTTTCCACTTTCTGCAGGTAGAGTGGCATCCTCTGCATATCTGGGATTGTTGGTATTTCTCCTGATGATCTTGTTTCTATGTCTAGACATCATCAATTGAAATTTGTGTTCCAGGTAGTTTTTATCGTTGAATCATAAAGGACATACCTTTTTTTTCTTTTTTGGCCGCACCGTGCAGCTTACGGGATCTCTGTTGAATCCCAGGCCCTCAGCGGTGACAACACGAAATTCTAGCCCCTGGACAGCTAGGGAGTTCCCGAGGCCATACAGTTTTAAAAATGCCATTTCCGTTTAATGACACAGCCACTTTTCTAGAACAGTACATGGTTTTTCCATATAAGTTTTATTTGTTGTAAAATATTCTAACCTATGGATATATGTGGTATTGTTACTTCTGAACATACTGGTTTTAATTTTTTGGTATTATGGACAACACTGTTGAAGAGACATGAATGAGGCTGCATTGCTGTGTATTTTATTTTAAACAATTTTCTTTTTCAAATCCTTAGAAGTAGGCTTTCTGAGTTAAAATGTTGTAGGTTTTTGAAACTTGCTGCCACATTGCCTTCTAGAAATGCTGTGTAAATTTTGGTTCACACCAGAAGTACACGAAAGTTCCTGTTTCCACACACCCAACCTTTGTTCAGATTCACACTTTTATGATATGGATTTTTTTTCCAAATGAGTTAAAAATAAAACCTAAATAGCTTTTATGAACTTGTGGTTTAAAGGAAATGTTTTGTCTTTTTTTTTCAAGTATCAGTCTCCTTACATTTTTGTCTTCTCTTCCTTATTTTGTGTTTTAAAACTCTAGGGTTTTAAAATTTATCAAGTTATTGTCTCTCCTGACTTTGTGTGAATAGACTAGCTACCCCCCCAATCCTTAAATTATTGAACCATTTCTGAATAGTAGAAGGGTGTTATAGCACTCAAATACCTAGCTTCCTCCTCTGTGAAGCACTCACTTGCCCCTCCATAGACACAGTTAAATGTCACAGATTATGGTTTCACACTCTTCGGTATTGGGTAAAGATAAATAAAAGACAAATGCTGTTTGCCATGGGTAAAGATGAATAAAAGACAATTGTTGTTTTGCCATGGGTAAAGATGAATAAAAGACAATTGCTGTTTGCCAGGCCCTCCATTCCTTTTGATTCTCATAGCACATAAATGTTTTTCTATGATAGCCTTAGTCACATGGCACAACGTAAATTACTTATAAGTGTTTGCACTTATTAGACTGTGACTTTATATTTTCATTCTGAACCTAGCCAGTGCCTGACACATATACGGTCTTTCTTGGGTGAATCCCTTAACCTCTTTAAGTCCCAGTTTTCCCATCTCTATCATGAGGATAAATATATTATCTGCCTACCACTGTTACTATGAGAAACTCAGTACTTAATTTGGAGATTGGCAGATAGTAAGTCAACAGTAAATGGCAGCTCTCATTTTTATTCCTATTGGAAGTCTAAAGATCCTGAACTCATATTATTATTATAGTGAGATCTAACATTATTATATTACCCATTGGTCTTTTATTCAGTTCTTTGTGGATTGATGGCTACTTCTGCTTTTCATGGGATTTTAAAGTTAATTCAATTAGTAATTAAAATGATTTATAATTGTAAGTGGCAACAGAACAGATTTAATGGTGAGAGCTGGAATGGTGAGAGCTTGAAGCTTGGTTGGCCCTTTTATCTTCTATTCCTTTTCTCTCTCTGCCTCTTTTGTCTTCCTAGATCTCTGCGGGTACGCTGAAGTTTCCGTGTATCTGTAAAACAATAGTTTGCCATTAATATTCTCTCTTACCAGCTCATCTCTAGGGGAAGAGGTGGTAGAAACCACCACTCTGTGGTCTTGCTACAGTTTAGTAAAGGTGTGAACAGTCATCCTCTGCCTTTCCCCTTGCCCCCACAAACCTCAGGAAAGAATGTGGTGGCAGCTTGAAATCCTGTCTAGAAAGTCTAGATCCTTAGTGCGGCACTGTTAGAGCTGTTTTTAAAGAAACCATTGTACTCTATTTTTCTTCTTCCTATCATGGATGTTTGGCTCAGCTGATCAAAGGAAGGGTCTCTGTTGTATATACTTTTATATGTAGTGAGTTAACCAAATAAGGCCCTTTCTTTTTCTTTCCTGTTACTACCCTTAACTAAGGTTCTGATGAATGCCTGTTTGTACTTTACACTTATCACAAAGGAGCTTGGGAAGGTCTTATTTGCACAAGTGCTGTGGAAATGTAACTTGCCCCTTTGTAAATTGTCGTTCCAAAGTAGTAGGTTAGACTACAGTGTTAGATGTTTGTACATTTTTTAATAATTCACTGTGTGAAATCACTGGGTGTTCAAAAGAGTTATGATCTGCATGCACCTTAAATACTGGAAGGAGGATAATTTTTTTATGATAATTGATATCAAACATTGTCTTATTTGGACAATCAATTTGTTTTTTATACTATATACACAAGACAGAATTCTCTTAACATTTCCGTACAAAAGAGAAAGCACATACCCTTCTTAAATCAGTAGTTTTTTGTTTACTATTTAAAAATTTTTGAATATTATGGTTCATGCCCCTTTTGTGTATTAAATATTTGAAACTTTAATTTAGAGAAGAAAACTGCTTCTTAGGCACTGCTTTCGAGTTAATTGTAATGAAGTTGGACATAATTGCATACTTACACTTCACTGTAAATAAAAAGCCTCCTAATATTATCAGAAGTTTTCATTGTTACTTTAAAACAGCAGCATCTTGTTAACCTTAATCAGAACCTGACGTGTGTTTCTTCTAAATGGCTTCTGATGTGGTGTCTCTCTTCAGTTCTCTGTGGTTTCCTGTTTTTTTCATACATGGAGCAAAGCCTTTTGATGTATTCAGCCTCATTTTTTTTAATGGCATATCAAACATAAACTTTCTTATATACACAATATAGCATTGTTCGGCTGTCTCAACACTCATTTATTCATCTTGCCACAGACCATTCCTTCGCTGGAATTCCTCCAGCACTTCCTTAATACCCCTTCTGTAGACTTTAGCATTACAGATTTATTTCCACCCTGAAAGTGTGTGTGCTTCAAGGGCAGAGGTAGCATCTCATCTTTCCATAATGGTGTTTGTCCACAGAGCCTTAGCAATTAATAGGTACAATAGATCAGCGACTTTCAAAGTGTTGTCCCCAGCAACATCAGCTTCACTTGGAGTGTGTTAAGATCGTAAGTCCCATGGCTCCACCCCAGTCATACTGAGTCAGAACATCTTGGGTTGATCAATTCTGTGCTTACAAGCCTTTCAGTGATTCTGATGGATGCTCAAGTTTGACAGCCACTGCAGGGGATAATTAATGAATACGAACCTTTTACCTTTATGGTGTTGCTTCACTGGAAGGATTAGTATCACGCGGGGCCAACCAATTTAGTCCATTCTGCTTGAGTCTTAATTCTCAAGAGATACTAGTAAAGAAAAATCTGTATTTAAATATTTGCAATCTTACAAGAGATTATAGCTTTTATAGCCATCCTATTATGAAAACTGGTCTTCCCTGGTGGTTCAGATGGTAAAGAACCTGCCTGCCAGTACAGGGGATGTGGGTTCAATCCCTGGGCCAGAAAGATCCCCTGGAGAAGGAAATGGCAATCCACTGCAGTATTCTTGCCTGGGAAACCCCATGGACAGAGGAGTCTGGTAGGCTTCAGTCCATGGGGCTGCAAAAGAGTCAGACTCAGTGACTAAACACAACAATTATGAAAACTGCAGCTTAAAATTTTCAACATATGAATGATTGCTTTCTTCCACTTGTTCAGAAATAGGCATTTAACATTCCAAAAGGAGGAAAAGTAAAGAACAAATAATGAATGTTATTCATTTTCATGGTGGACAGGAGGTGGGTGAATGTTAGAAACTGGTCAGGCAGAGAATGGGTTGGGAGACTTTCCCCTGGGTACCGTTCTATCCTCTTCAAAATTTTTGAACCGTGTAGGTGTATTACATAAAAAATGTTGATACAAGGGTTTTAATAAGATTAAGTTGATCAATGAGTGTTGAATAAATAACTTTCCATGTGATAGCCAGTTGGCTTGGTTAAAAATTATTGAAATTTCCCTTTGCATTAGTATGAAAGGTTAAATAAAGTGGTTTTCCACCTCTGTGGAACATGTCAGGATGTTGGTAGAAATGTCTTGATGACTTTCTGCCTGAACTTCCTTATGCAATGAACAAGGAATTCTTGCTATTATGTGAACACATCATCCTGTTATTACTTTAAGCAAATAAAGGAAGAGCTCAGACATACAGGACTTTGATCTAATACTGTCTTTGGAAGCGTTTTTAGAAATATCTTGATAGTCAAGGACTGTTTGAGAGAAAAATTGATCTGCATTTTTGTCACATTCTTAGCAAATGGAAAATAATCCATTTAGCAAAACCCATTACATATGTTCTGAATTATAAACAGTATTCTCAACTATTTGTCTTTTAGTACAAATACAATTATATTAATGTTATGATTGAATTGTGCTGTTTCAGTGGAAGGTATGTCTTAAATGACACTTGATTCAGTTACTCTTTTTTTGTCTTGCACAGAACGATCGTACCATGGAAAGTATTCAGACAGTGCCTTCATGAGGTGCATCAGATTAGCTCTGGCCTGGAAGCAATGGCTCTCAAATCAACAATTGACTTGACTTGTAATGATTACATTTCGGTTTTTGAATTTGATATTTTTACCAGACTGTTCCAGGTAAGCTTTGTATTTGCTTCATCCTGCCCCTTCTTCTCCTTCTCTCCCTGCTCTGCGTATGTGTATTTTGCACATTCGTGCATAATGTACAAATATATGGGAAATAGTCTCATTTTTGGTAGTCTCCCATTTAAAAGCAGACTTCCCTTGCGGCTCAGCTGGAAAAGAATCTGCCTGCAATATAGGAGACCTTGGTTTGATCCCTGGGTTAGGAAGATCCCCTAAGAGATCCCTAAGATCCCCTAAGAGAAGGGAAAGGCTACCCGCTCCAGTATTCTGGCCTGGAGAATTCCAGGGACTATACAGTCCAGAGGGTTTCAAAGAGTCGGACACGACTGAGCGACTTTCACTTCACTTCATTTAAAAGCAAGCTGTTGGTCATTGCTCTAAGTTTAGAGTTTAAGTTTGGGATATCTGGTGTTCTGAGCCCGGAAGTTGCTTATTAGCTTTGAGAAGACTGATGTAAAGGAGCTTTGCTCCATAAAAAGTCCCTGTTTAGTTTCTCACTTTGCTGATCGTTCTAGCCCAGTAACTGACAGAATGCAGGTCTCACAGGTGGGCATTTGCTGAGGTTGTGTCTCAACAGCTCTCTTTGCCTCCCACATCCATTAGATGAGAAGGGAAACAGTAAGCTTTGGAATAAATAGCAAACTTAACCTCTTCTCTATCGGAGATTACTGTGATGGATACTGATTCCACAGCTAGCTTTGCTCTTTCAACCATATGTTACAAACATTCTTCAACGTCAATAATTATTTTCATCAGTGTAATTTTCAGCTTTCAGTTCCTACAGAATATTCCATCAAAATAGTCTGTTATTAATTTAGCATATCTCTCATTTGGGAAATTTAGGTTTTCCTGGTTTTTTCCCTAATATCAGTGACTTTGAGATTAACCTTCTTGTCCTATTCATTGTTTTTGTTTTTGAACCATTCTTTTATAATTGTCTTCGCATAGCTATTCAGAAGTAGGTATCATATAATAAAAGCTGGGTATCATCATTTTGTGCTTTTGTATGTGTAGACAGAATTACCCTAAACATGAAGACTTGCAATTTGCTTTGAATTTGCCTCTGCCATTAAATTGCATGTCATCTCTGAGATTCAAGTGGTCACAAAATGAGAATCCCACCTAAAATCCCTGTGATTCTAATAATATAAATTATATAGCAAGTGAGGTTTAATTGATCAAAAATGAGGCTTGCTTATATTCCAACACAGTTTTTCTTTCTTTTTTTATTTTAGTGTGCAGTCTAAGATTTATTCTGTTTGAAACATACTTTCAGCAAATGTTAGAGTATAATATTGGTTTTCATGTTTCTCATGTTGTAAGAATCTTGCTTCTCTGATTTATGACTCTGCTTGGTACTTGCCTGCAAGGATCGGGTAACTGATTTATGTAAGAAAACAAGATTACATGGCATTAACTTTTAATTTATAAAAGAACCCATTAACAGAGGGCAAAGTAACTCTTGTTGACAATACTTATAGAATAAATTTTACTTTATTACAGCTTTATAATCATAATTCTACCTAGACATACAGAATAGAAAATTAGATAAGTGACTGCAGAAAGTATGCTTTTGGTTGTTTTCAATTTGCAGTAGTTTCATGATTATTCCTTTGGTATATGTATGCTATCAGTTAATGTTTTTCCAACAACTTTAAGATACATTTTAGGAAAAGGTTGTGTTATCTGATACTGATTATTTTATAATGGAACTTCTTTCTTTAAAAGTTTCTGATAATTTTACAGATACTTACTGAACATGATACCAAGACATTCTAATAGTAGGTACTCTGCTTCTTCCCCTTGGGAAGGAAGAAAACTAAGTTTTGTGTTTTTTTTTCCATACATTAAACCTATTTATTCATTCTAGAAAGAGTGTATTTTTTGTGGGGAGCCTGGATGACTTTCAGTCAGAATGTTAAGTATTAGAATGCCTCAGAATTATATATCAGAAGTATGATGGCAACTTAATGGTGGTTAAACACTTACCCAAACAGCTGCTTACTATGTACACATATTTTCTTATAAGCTGTTTCACTTTAAAACAACCAAGTAATCATATATCTTATTTATGCTCCAGGGGATGGGAGAGGAAAAGAATCTTTTAAGTAGAGCTACTGTGAAAAATATTAGGTAACAAAACAGTACCAGTGGACCAAAGTATACCTGGTGTCTTTGAAAACCCATGCTTACAGAAGTGGCTAAAGAACTCTTGTTAGCCCTTGTGTTTTTCTAAGATTCTTTACCTCTCCTCATTTCATTATGCTTATACTGTAATCATGTATGTATTCTAAAATACAAAAAAATTGGTTCTGTGTACAGAAAGTGGATGTATTAACTTTTACTGATCTTTTATTTTTGTATAACTTTAAAAATCGAGTAATATTTTCCTCCTATAATTGTGCATTCTATATGAAAAATGTAAGTTTTGTGGTTAGTATAACTGCATGGACATATATTCTGCTCTACCTGTGATATAGTTGGTTAAGTGGTTGTGAATTCTTCTAGCTTTAAACTGTTGGGGATGGAGTATTTAGCAGAGTGGTATCTGAAAGTGGGCAAAGGACACCCTCAGGATTGGGGTTTGTTCTAGAGATCTAGCATCAGGTTTGAAGAACGTGTCAGTTGGGGTAAGGGGATGGAGTGGAGACTTGTTTAGGACACGAAAGAAGAAAGCTGGAGGATTCTGGTCTCCCCTTCTTCCTCTCCTCCCTCGTCCTGATATTTTGCCAGAACTTGAACCGTGCTGTGAGTCCCTGGGAAGATCTTGCAATGGCTGTGTTCCTCCGTCTGCCTGTTACCTTATCTGTCTCCCCTCCAGGTAGTTCAGAGATGTTGGGATTGGCAAGTGCTCAAGTCCCAGATTGGAAATATGGGGCTTTTACATTCTTCTTTGCTCTCCCTGGGGCTGCTGCCCCGTCCTCCTTCCATTTCCCATTCTCTTCTGTAAGAGAAGGCTGGGGCAATAAATGGGATGGGTAAGGTGGCAGGATAAGAAGTGAGTAATTTGGAGCTATATACTAGTGACTATGGAATATACAGCATTCTGGAATAGGGAGAAAAAGAGGTGGAGGAAGTCATCTGTGGCAGATTAAGAGAGCATCTGGGCAGACCAGCCAAGGTCCTGCTCCCAGGTTAGACTATAAGTCAGTACACAAGTGTTCCTGAACATGGTGGCCTTTGAGAGAATGGAGGGACTCGTCTTCTTAACATATTTCATTAGTTTCTGTAGTCATTTAAGCATCTCCAAATAGGAGCATCTCTGGTGGCTCAGTGGTGAAGAATCCACTTGCCAGTGCAGGAGCCACGGGTTTGATCCCTGATCTGGGAAGGTCACACATGCCAGGGAGCAATTGAGCTCATGCCCCACAACTGTTGAGTCTGTGCGTCCCAGCCAGAGAAGCTGTCATGATGAGCAGCCTGCGCGCTGCAACTGGGGAGTAGTGCCCACTCGCTGCAACTAGAGGAGAGCGCACCCAGCAATGAAGACCCAGCACAGCCAAAAATGAATAAATAATTTTAAAAAGAGAAGCTCCAAATAATTTTGTGTTTGGTGTGTGAAAAAAGATTTCCTACAATCTAACAACAAGTTGCAAAAGTAATCACTCTTCAAAGCACTTTATTTTGCCTTCTCTAAGAGTTGGACTGTGAAGAAAGCTGAGTACCGAAAAATTGATGCTTTTGAACTGTGGTGTTGGAGAAGACTCTTGAGAGTCCCTTGGACTGCAAGGAGATCCAACCAGTCCATCCTAAAGGAGATCAGTCCTGGGTGTTCATTGGAAGGACTGATGCTGAAGCTGAAACTCCAATACTTTGGCGACCTCATGTGAAGAGCTGACTCATTGGAAATGACCCTGATGCTGGGAGGGATTGGGGGCAGGAGGAGAAGGGGACAACAGAGGATGAGATGGCTGGATGGCATCACCGACCTGATGGACATGAGTTTGAGTAAACTTGGGGGTTTGGTGATGGACAGGGAGGCCTGGCGTGTTGTGATTCATGGGTCACAAAGAGTCGGACACGACTGAGTGACTGAACTGAACTGAACTGAAGCCATTCTTTGGCAACATACTTTGAACACGCACACACAAAATACAAAACTACCACGTGTTTCTGACTGTGGGTTTCATTCTCAAGAAAAATAGTGCACAGACTTCCTATGAAGTATATATATTTGTAGTTAGAAGCTAGCCCTTAGAATTATTACTAAGAAATGGTTGCTACGTAGTACAGCATTTGGCTCAAAACTCCACTTGTATTTGGTCTGTGCATTGGCTGTCTATAAAGTTCAGCACTGTTTTTAATAAAACAGCTGTCATTAATTTGTGTGGATTCTAATGGAAATGACCCAAATATTTTATGTTCTTTTCAGCCTTGTCCTATATAGATGAGGAAGCAAAACAAAACAAAACTCATTGACTCTAATAGTTAATATTCAGTTTTTTTTAAACACATGCTAATATTCTTCCAAGTATTGTTTTTGTCATTTTTAGTCATCCCTTAAAGAGAAAATTAAAAACATTTATTTTTCAAGTACATAAACAGCACCTCTCATAAGGGTGTTCTCCGGAGCTCATTTTTCCCCAATTAGGTATTTTAGTGTGATGGGGAAATACTCTGAAGATTTTTCTTGTTATTTTGGCAAAGGTTAAACTCTTCATTACTAAATCATTCTTAAATCATTCTTTCCCTTGTTATCCTCCTCTCAAGGGATATAATCCTTAAAGAATTCCGCCTTGTAAATTTGAAGCTTGCTTAACAATAACAATGAACAAGTCTCAAAACAAACAGAAGTAGGAGCCCTCCACCAGTAATGGAGTCTAGGATAACTGTTTCAACAACTTTCACTTGGCAACACAGAATACTTTTTTTTTCTTTTATGTAGAAGATTTGAGTTAATAATTTGGCACATTAGATAGAGTATGGTGCCAATTCCTTGGGATAAATGTAACTTCAGCCTTAAAGATACAGCAGAGATGATTCATTAAATGCCCCCAAGCAAAGTTGTTTATTACTGGCTGCCTTTTTTCCCTTGCCATGATAATTGGAGGGACAACTAATCCCATTAGAGTGATAACAAACCGTGTGTGTGTGTGTGTGTGTGTGTGTGTGTGTGTGTGTGTGTGTGTGTGTGTGTTTCTGTGAAGGATTTCTACAGAATTCACCTCTAAACTGAACCTTTTCTGATTTTCTAATTGTACAAGGATGAGATGTTAGAATTGTAGTGTGTTACCATGGGAGTCTGATGCTGAAGTTGAAACTCCAGTACTTTGGCCACCTCATGCGAAGAGCTGACTCACTGGAAAAGACCCTGATGCTGGGAGGGATTGGGGGCAGGAGGAGAAGGGGACGACAGAGGATGAGATGGCTGGATGGCATCACTGACTCGATGGGCATGGGTTTGAGTAAACTCCGGGAGTTGGTGATGGACAGGGAGGCCTGGCATGCTGCGATTCATGGGGTCACGAAGAGTCGGACCGACTGAACGACTGAACTGACTGACTGACTGACCGACCATGGGAGTGAAGGCTTCGTAGGCACGTCAGCCATCAGATACGCTGCTCACGGCAGCTCTCCTGGTCGCCCCGCCTGGTGCTGCTTCAGTGCTGGCCTCCCTTTGGGGAGCGAGACAGCCATGTTCCTGTTCTTATGTAGCGTCAGGGTCAGTGTGTAGACTTTGCCAAATCACTTCCATTCCATGATAGCCTTTTGTTCTACAAAATGTGATGTCTTAAGTGTTAGAGTAGTGAATAAAACAGACGTGCAGGGAGACGGGGCATGAGATGAGAAGTAGTGACTTTGGTCTGAGAAGGCTCTGTTGAGGAAGAGAATTTTGAAGAGGAGGGAGTCATACAACATGTGTACGTGAAGAATTCAGGGGTCAGCAGATTCAAAGGCTGTGAGGTGAGAGAGTGTAATTACGTTTACGCCAGCAGTACTGTGATCCGCGGATCTAGAGGAAGGGCGGGAGGTGAGAGACTCACAGCAGATGGGATACAGGGGAACTGGGTCTCAACCCCGTAAGGTCCTTCTAGGCCATTTATCAGAACTTTGGCTTTTAGTCAAAGTTAGAGAGTTTTGAACCAAAGAGTGGTGTGGTTTATGTTTCAAAATGATCACAACTGCTGTCTTGGGAATAGAATATGTGGAGAAGAGATTATGTGGTTTTCCTTTTTGCTTTCAATATTTTTTTTCCTAAAATCTGTTTTCTGCATAATTATATTTCTCCAAAATGAAAGTAAGTAGTTTTATGTTTGCTTTTGGATAATATAAGTTGACCTAAGCCACATAAACTTATATTCACTTAAAATATTCAGGAGAATTTTAGTATGTGTATTAAATAATGGCTTGGTGCATAAATAATAGTTGATACTCTCTAGGTAATCTTTTAATTTATTTATACTTTTAGCCTTGGGGCTCTATTTTACGGAATTGGAATTTCTTAGCTGTAACACATCCGGGTTACATGGCATTTCTCACATATGATGAAGTGAAAGCACGGCTACAGAAATACAGCACCAAGCCCGGAAGGTAAGACTTTGGCAGTAATGTTATGTGATATATGGAAAGATGGAAAGTCCTCAGTGGTTCATTCCTAAGTAAATCAGTTATACACATTGGGTTAGGGGAGAGAAATGCTAACAGACAAAAACAGTGCTTCCTAATTCAGTTATTCAAATTGGTATGCTATGCTTGTTCTGAAACTTAATGTTCATAAAGTGAAAGAGGATATGGTAATATGTAATTTGATGAATTTAGAGAATAAGTCTCAGAGTTTAAAATTGGAATAAGATATTAGCATATTAACTCTTTTCATGACATGTGTTTGTGTATAAAATTGTATATTTGAATACTTGAATACTGTGCTAAAGACAAATCAGTTTCATATTCATTATTTTAGGGTATTTTTCAAGACATTCAGTTTGGTTCTATGATAATCACATAATTACATATAAATACATATTAATGTATATAAGTACATATAAGTGTATAGATACATGATAAATGTGTAGTAAGTTCATAAACATATAAACCCATTGCTAGCAATCCAAACCAGTGTAATGTCCTTGAGAACTTCTTCCATAATCCCTCATGGCTGCTGTTGAAATTGAATGAAACTCACAGAGCTTAGCTGTGTGATCAGCGTCTCTGGCTTTGTATAAGAGAGCAGAGCTTATTAATGGCGTATCTGGGATCAGAAAACCTCTCTCCCCTGGTGCAGACATTTTCCCCACAGCCAGTCTGGAAATGCACCAGGCACGTAGTAGGCATTTGCACTGTGGCATGCAGTGTGCTGGGTATGATGGTCATGACAGTGAGACTGCCCTTTCTCAACTTACACCATCCCACTGTCCATGAGAGCCCTGATGTCCATATAGGGGTCATTGCATTTTAGAAGTTTGGTATTTTTCAAGTCTACCTTTTTCTTCTAATACCGTTTTTATTTGATTTTTAGTGCAAGTGTCATTTGTCCGTTAAGAAAGTCTTCAAGCAGTCAGTTATTGATGATTTCTTATCCCTCTTTACCATAATGGAAAAATTTTCACCTCTTATATTTCTAAGAATTTTTATTGTATATTAGAAGGCGGTTGTAGGTACAGAAAACAGTGTGGCTCCTGTGGAGTCGTAGGTTTAGACTGAGAACTGGTTCTCATTGTGACTGCAAGAGCAGGTCAGTTATTGTGCACATTGACAATGGCTTATGTAAGTCATTTTGTTTCAGGGATCTCTCATAACCAAATTTTTCCATAACTTTTGCTCTCTTGATTGGCATCAAAGTATCATCTTGTTCCTGGAGTATGATTTGAAAGATACAATACCACTGGAATCATTCTGTCATGCAGATTTAACACAGAAGTCATTTGGGAAATTATCTCCAGTTCTAAAAAAAAATAATAAACTGAGTCTTCTTGTGTTCTCTTGTTCAAGATCATGGAGATAATTGATGACCATGTTGGAAGTATTAATAAAAGCCAGAACTCATCACTATTTGAATAGAGCTTTTAAGATAGTGCTCTCCGAAAGGATGTCTTCTTTTCCTTCCCTTCCTGCCTGCTATCAGTTATTTCTTCTAAGTTTTTGTTGAAGGTGAAATCATCAGTCTGTGGCAAACCCTTATATGTACGTGTGATAGGGTGTTTAAAATGTATTTAGGAAAATTCAGTGAACAACCAAATGATTTTAATAAATATTTGCTGGAGTGGTCCTTTCTCTCGGGAAATGGTTCATCTCTTTGGCTTCATGGTAAAGAAAATAGTTGGGTATATTTCAAGGACATTTGAGTTCTTAAGGTTGTTCTTTATTTGGATCCAGCTGACAGTCGTGTCTGTGTGGGATTATTCTGGATGATCATGATTAAGGATGCTAAGTGAGAGGTTGATACTTATTTTTCAGCTTTCTAGGAGAATGTTTTTAGACTTCTTAAAAAGTCTTTTCCAACAGTTCCAAAACCAATATGAAAATCACTTCTTCCTTTCTGTAAAGAGCCCAGTTTTCTGCAAAGATGAAACCACATTGCAGTATTTGATGCCCAAATTAAGTAAATCTAATGACTGTGTAGCCGTTACATATGCTAAATTATCTGTTAAAGTTTTTATTACAGTACTTGTTTAATCAATAGCTAATGTAGATTAACAGATGCTTATTTCTTCCACATACATATAGCAATCAGGGTACTCAAATATAGCTTAAGTTGGCCTACTTTCGATCTGCTTAAGGTGTTAGAAAATCCAGATATGGATATCATGAATAAGACTGAGTGTAATACACTTAAATTCAGGGAAATGATGTATAATGTGGTAAGTAGATAAGATAATTAGCTAATCTTAGTAAACAGTAATGAATTTAAAACCAAGTCAGTGTCTTCTGACATTGTCATTAATTTGTTTTATATTTTAGAACTATTTTTATTTCCTATCACAAGACATTGAACTTGACAGGATTCGACAGAGAGCATGAACTTACCTAGTTTGCTTTCCCATTAATATAGTTCAGCTCTTTGATCTTTTGTTTAAACACCAATGGCTGTAATACTTGAAAGAAAAGTATTATTTTTAAACAAGTTATTAACAACTAAAAGTGCGTAATTTTAAGATGACAAAATAATGTATTGAATTCCATAGTAGACTGGCTCAATTTCTGTCTGAGCTAGCCAAATTAATTTTTACTTATTTTATTTTTGCTTTCCAAAAATGTCACAGCTGTTTCACACCACCAGCACTTTTATGCAGAGCAAACCTCTAATGATGATGGTGGTAAATTATTTGATGGTTTACAACTTCTACTATTTTTTCACAGAACTCCAGGGATATTTAAATGGAACTATTATCATTATTTCTTTTGCAGATCAGTAAATGGAGAAGGAGAATAGTGTAAAATAAGTTTGAAGGTAGAAATCCTAAATGATTTTGTTTATTCTTTTGCTTACGAAAACTCTCACAATTGTTTGGTGGTAGTTAGCGCGCAGACATTTTGAAAGTGTTTAAACATACTGTTCTTACGTTTCACAGCTACATTTTCCGCTTAAGCTGCACCAGGCTGGGGCAGTGGGCCATTGGCTATGTGACAGGGGACGGCAATATCTTACAGACCATACCGCACAACAAGCCCTTGTTTCAAGCCCTGATTGATGGAAGCAGGGAAGGATTGTGAGTACGAGACCTCGGGGGTTGGAGTGTTTCTGGTTCACAGATGTGGAAGATAGAGGCTCCTTTTGGTGGTGGGAATGGACAGTGAGGCTGATGGTCTGACTGGTTTTTATTTTAAAACTAAGAAATGGATGATCCTTAGATTTTATTGTTCATTTCTTAGTCAATTTAAATAACCTAATTATTTGATTTTTTTTTTTTTGGCATGGTCTTCACAACCTTCAGATCTGAATAGTTCCTTACAAATGTTAGAAAATACTATGCAGCTGGAGAATGGACGCAGCGGAACGATTATTTGATTGTTCCCTCTCTAGCTCTGCTCCTGTGTTCCCAGTTTGTACTCTCAGTATAGGGTCTTTTAATCCTGCTGTTGGGATCATGGGCAGATTCTGATAGGCTCTGTTCTTGGACTGTCAGTAGAGTTGCAACGAATCTCCCTTTGTGGGATTTCCACACACAGCTCACAAAAGCATCCCACCCCAAAGAGCCATCCATCTGCTCTTCTGCCTCAGAAAAATACAACTGGCTGCTAAAGGGGCCTGGAACTTCATTCCCCTGGGGAGCACTGTGCTCCTGTCTCCGAAACACGCCTGCCTTCTCGCCCACCCTCCTCTTTCGCTTCCTCTCTTTGTCCTTTTTTTTTTTTAAATTAAAGCATAAGTGAGGTACAATGTTAAATGTTACAGGTGACCAGTATGATGATTCACAGTTTTTAAAGGTTATGCTCCATTTGCTGTCGTTGTTGCTCAGTCACTCGGTCACGTCTGACTCTTTCCATGGACCGTAGCATGCCAGGCTTCCCTGTCCTTCACTGTCTCCCGAAGTTTGCGCAAACTCATGTCCATTGAGTCAGTGATGCCATTCAAAGAGTTCATCCTCTGTCGTCCCCTTTTCCTCCTGCCCTCAATCTTTCCCAGCCTCAGAGTCTTTTCCAGTGAGTCAGCTCTTTGCATCAGGGGCCAAAGTATTGGAGCTTCAGCTTCAGCATCTGTCCTTCCAATGAGTTTTCAAGATTGATTTCCTTTAGGATTTATTGGTTTGATCTCCTTGCTGTCCAAGGGACTCTTAAGAGTCTTTTATAGCACTTCGGTTTGAAAGTGCCCATTTTTGGGTGCTCATTCGGCTCCATTTATAGTTACTGTAAAATATTGACTATATTCCTGTGATAGAAACCTGAGAGGGGGAAGTCTACCAGAAAGAGAAAATAGTTTCCAGTAGCAAAATTTTCCTTTGCCAAAGAACAGAAAAAAGGAAAAGTGATCGGCTCCATGTGAATGGATAGAAGTTGTGAATTTTAAGAAATAGTTATGTAAGAATGAATGGCAAACTGGTACTAAAAGTCTGTATTTCTCCTTTTTTAATTATAAATTTGCTATTCTGTTGTTTATATCTTACCTCTAGTGCATCAAGGATTCATATCTGTGGCTTTCTATCCACTATAACAGGATTTTTGTTTTGAAGAAAAATGTACTTCAGAGTTTTAATTTATAAAAAGAGATCACGAGTGGGCAAATCTGTGAATGGACTGATTTTGATATATCTTATTTATATTGTGGGCTTTTCTGGTGGCTCAGAGGTAAAGGGTCTGTCTGCCAATACAGGAGACCTGGGTTTGATCCCTGGGTCCAGAAAATACCCTGGAGAAGGAAGTGGCAACCCACTGCAGTATTCTTGCTTGGTAAATTCCATGGTCAGAGGAGCCTGGCTGGCTACAATCCATGCAGTTGCAAAGAGTCAGACATGAAACAACAGCAACAACAAAAGATCAGTAAAAACACAGGATATTATCTGGTCCAACTGTTTCCAACCGTTAGGGTCATTTGTCCTTTCCTTATAGTTAATCTGATATTGTGTGACATAAGTGATAAAGAAGTTTACTTTGATAACTAGCCAAGATTCCTTATTCCTCCAATGCCATTGAAAGGGACTCAGCAACAGCAATATTGAAGACCATAATCATTGAATTGCTCCTATACAGAATTTTTAAACCTTTTCTCTAGCAAAATTATTGTCATTTTGTAATCTTTCATTTCTGAATTCTCCCTAGAATTCAACATTCTTGAAGTGTGGTGAACAAGTATAAAAAGAAAGCTACCAACTTTTGCTTATCACTTCTATAATGTTCGTAGCATTTTACCCTATCCCTATAATGACACTCTAAAATTTGTATCATAGTCATATGTAGTCAACTCCTTTTCCTAAATCTTAAAAATACAACAACAACAACAAAACCACTCACTGATTTTCTCCTTACCATATGAGAGTTGTCTGTCCTCTAGGTTTATTTTTTCCTGGTTTTCTTTTAGAATTTTAAACACTAACATATTTATAGACTATTTATGGATAAATATTTTTTGTTACTTCACATAATAACTTTAGTATAGTTTTGCTCTTTATTCACCACTGTACTATTATGTTCTTAAGTTATCATTCAAGAATCTAGAACAAAAAGTTGCTAAATAAAATCACCTGTAACTTAATGAATTGATGAAATCCAGCAGTAATATTACTCATTTCCTAATCTAATATAGGTGCTTACCAACATGATCAGCTTCATTTTTTAAATGGATTTCTGAATAACAAAGCACTGGTTTAGCACAGCAAGATGGCATGATAACTTTTAGTTCTTATTTTAATTCTCTCTAGTAATGGAACCTTATGCTTATAAACCATTCTGTTGGTAGCTTCATTTGAAATAAATGAAACATAGAGTTGTAACCTTTGTTTATATGCACATGTGTATATGTGCCAGGGTAAATGGAAGGTGAAACAGAAAGAAAGGGGATGGGAAACTAGAGAAAGAAAATGCCACAAAGATGTTTGGATAACTTTTATGAGAAAATTGTGGGCTTTAATTCTATTTTTGTTTCCTAGTGGTACTAGGAAATAGTGTAAAATGTAACATTAATTGTGCTTCATGTGAAAGACGTAATAATTGCAAATAGACGTATATTCTGAGTATTTTGGAATAGAACATGAGTAACAGTGGAAGTATCAGTCACTCGGTCATGGCTGACTCTTGTGATGCGCATGTACTGTAGCTTGCCAGGCTCCGTAGCATTCTCCAGGCAAGAATACTGGAGTGGGTTGCCATTTCCTTCTCCAAAACATATAGTAAACCTGTTTAATTGAAAGTGATTGCTTAATGGCTGAGTCCATATTCATTATATATTTCTTTAATTAAAAAACTTTGCTAGATTTTGAATTTCCTAAAAATAACTTGTAGTATTATGGAAACAGTGATAGAATAAATTCTTGATGTAAGATACCTAAAAAGGAGACATCTAAATGTGCGTTTGAATATAGAAGAATCTGATTACATAACCTTAAAGGCAATTAAGACTTGTATATAGTTACGTAAATAAAATTTCTCTTTATAATCCAGCTATCTTTATCCTGATGGAAGGAGTTATAATCCTGATTTAACTGGACTATGTGAACCTACACCCCATGATCATATAAAAGTTACACAGGTAAAGACAATTTCTGGAGACATACTTAAAATTAATAAGTATTTGTGATGCCTTTGAAATAACATTCTTAATAATTGGTAAAGTCATGTACAGATATTTAATGCAAAATATATTTAAGGAATTTTAAGAGTGTTTGAAAAGAAATTACAGAACTTTATTTTTTCGATAAAAATCTCTTGTTAATATTTCTGCTTCCAATATAATACTGACATTTTTGTGGGGAAATAGATAAAGCTGTAGGTAGACAGATCGATAGGAAAGTAGAGATATTTAGCTTTAGATAACTTCAGGGAAGATTCGAATAATTATATGCATTAGTTTTTAGAGTCAAGTGAGTAATTGAAACCTATTGGAGACAATAATTGTATTCTTGTAAATCCACTGTTGGCACCCTCATAGATTATGACTTGGGGGGGGGGGTAACTTGGTAAAGTCTTTCTTGAGGGTGGTATTCAGTAGTTACCAAAACCTAAACATGTTTGACTCTAGATTCCATATACATATCACTTGAATATACACACAAAGATCTGTACCCCAGGGTGTTCACTTTAGCATTGTTCTTAAAAATGAAATATTATAGTATACCAAATATCTATATTCAGTCAGAGGTTAAATACCGTAGCACACTCACACTTCATTATCCTGTAAAGTCTTTAGCAAGAGGAAGGTAGCTCTGGACACTCACATGGGAACCTCTGCATCTTGTTATGTAAAAATGTTATGTAAAGCTTAATTATGTAACACTTGACTTTGTAAAATGACATTATGTAACTTCAGTTTTATAAAGAAAAATTACCATTTGTGAACATGTGAATGCACTTTAAAAAAATAAAAATGAAAAACGCTAACAGTCTTTGAGAGAGAACTTCCAATATTTTATTTTAAATGTAGCTGAGTTTTAAAAAATTTTATAATTTGGATATTTTGTGCTTTGTATAATAATAAAACTCTAATAAAACCAAATGATAAGTTTTAGGGAAAACAGTAGATAATTTTTCATTTCTACTTCTTTAGATTTCAGTGGTCTTGATATTTAAAACATACTTGTTGACATGTGTACTCTTTTGGGCAGTTTTAAAAATTTAATATATGATAGCCATTTAAAAAGTTATGTACCGATTCTTTGTTTTCTAATATATGTAGAAAGACACAGGAGACAATTCCTTATAAAGCCATTGTTTAAAAATTGTTTTAAAATTCGTATTCAGGAGTAGTATCTTTCTCTTAAACTACTCATAAATATTTGAATAGCTTACCTCTTAGGTTGCATTGCCTTCTGCAAGTGTGATTTTATCTTAATTTTTTTAATAATTGTAGATTGGTCCATTGAATTGTGTAACAAGTATACAGGCTACACTCTAGGGTCGCAAAGAGTCGGGCACGACTGAAGTGATTGAGGACACACAGATACTTATTATTTTAGGGATTTCAGTGAGATATAGGATACTTTGGACTTTTTTCCATGTTGATCTACTCTTTCCCTTAATTTATTTTAAAAATTATATAGTCACACATATACCATGGTAGACAGAATTTATATATGAATGAGTGAGTATATGTGTGTGTGTATCTATGTGTTTATACATATGTATTTTTTCTCACTGAGATTGTAAGAGCTTTCACTAGGCTAGGGATTAAATATTGTCATTTATTCATCCTGTCCAAGGCCATGTATGTAGTACATACTTACTAGACTAACACATTGCCTTATTTAAACAAATTTTTGTTTCAATAACTCCTTTTCTTTGTATGCCTATTAAGTAACACTCTCTGTTCATACTTCTTTATACTTACCAATATATCTGAATCTTCTTTGTGACAGAGTTCTTTTCATTATTTGAACACTGAGAATTTAACTATGCCAAAAAGCATCTAATTAGTGAATAAAGAGAATAGATTTTTAATGAAACAATTTTTGATAGCTGAAATGATTAGGTTTTTGATCATGTTAGACTGGGAAAAGAGTATGCAAATAGGGGTTTAGTATAGAATTTGAGGAAAATAATTTATACTACTGAGCCTCAGGATTTTTTTAAATTCAGTGTATCTTCTTATACTTTGGAGATTATATGACATAATAAATGTGGACATCAGTACATAGCATGCAGAAAGCCCTTGGCAAATTTTCCGTCCTGAAATTTCTGAAATAGATGTCTAAGAAGTAAAATTGTCAGCTGTATTGCAATTTTGACATTAAAATTAGATGAGTATGTGGTGTTTACAGAGAAAAGTATTGTTTTTTATTGCATTTAAGACCATACGTTTGTCTCTTAAATCACCCTGTTGATGCAGGTACCTTACCAAAGGAACAGTACAAAATGTTAAATAATCCAAAGTATTAAAAAAGCTTATGCAGTTGCAGATAAAATCTTTTTAATTTTATAGACCAAATTGTGACTACCAATTTAAAATATATCTTATATGGCAGTTTGATCTGACAGGGTCAAGTGTGAGGAATTTACTGTAAGTCATGGTATTTAAGAAAATTCAGTATTATCATGCAAAAAAATACATTAAGGTTGCCTTTTGTGCTCCCCCAATTCCAGGAACAATATGAGTTATACTGTGAGATGGGTTCCACTTTCCAGCTCTGTAAGATCTGTGCTGAGAACGACAAGGATGTCAAGATCGAGCCTTGTGGGCACCTGATGTGCACCTCTTGTCTCACCGCCTGGCAGGTATAGTCAAGATTTCACTGGTCACATTGATGTCTTCCTTATAGTCCCTCTGAATATGTCTTTTTTCAGTTTTCTTCATTTTTAAGGATTCAAAAAGTCATACGTGTTTGTTTGAATGGTTGTCTTTTTAAAAAATCCCATGTTTGAGTTTTTCACGTACATGATTTGACGTTTTGTTGGGTTTTCATGCTTTCTTTGTGCTGTGCTGTGCTTAGTCGTCAGCCATGTCCGACTCTTTGTGACCCCGTGAACTGCAGCCCGGCAGGCTCCTCTGTCCATGGGGACTCTCCAGCCAAGAATACTGGAGCGGGTTGCCATGCCCTCCTCCAGGGGGTCTTTCCAACCCACGGCTTGTGCCCGGCTCTCCCGCATTGCAGGCGGACTCTTCACCACCTGAGCCACCAGGGAAACCCAAGGATTCTGGAGTGGGTGGCCTGTCCCTTCTCCAGGGGATCTTCCCAGCCCAGGAATCGAACTGGGGCCTCCTGCACTGCAAGTGGATTCTTTACCAGCTGAGCTATCAGGGAAGCCCAAGAATTCTGGAGTGGGTGGCCTGTCCCTTCTCCAGGGGATCTTCCCAGCCCAGGAATCGAACTGGGGCCTCCTGCACTGCAAGTGGATTCTTTACCAGCTGAGCTTCCAAAAAAGCCCTTTTCTTTCACTATTATTTGATATATAAAATTAATATAACTTAATCTTACAGTATTAATCATAAGTAGTTCTGCTTCTATAACACTTGATTTCAGAATATCACTTACCAATGTTGCAAACTAACCATATTTATTTATTGTAGCTCAGATTCTATTTATAGTAGATCAATTCTCAAGCAAAGTAAACCCTAATAGATAAATCTTAGGTTGATGTTTCAACACTTCTCTTGAGAAGGGTATGGCTCCTGTCTCACGTATGTCTCCCAATTGCTCTGTAAGTCTAAAACAGGAGCATCAGACAGAAAGTTTCCCAAATGTCTTTAGTTCCCATAGTCACTAAATTTTCCAGTTTACAGCAACAGAATCTAAGGCAAGCTGCCTTCCATTCTGTAGGCATTCAATAAATATAAATTGATTTGATGTTTTAGAATACGACCTAGAAAATAATTGGTTTCCCCAAGGGCTTCTTTAAAATATTTCTTGATCTATAATAAAGGTTAGAGATTTTAAAATAGATCTTTGGACAGATTTCTAGTTTTGAGTATTGGAGGATTCACAGAATATTTTGCTCAAACACTTTTTTAACTACTCTGTTTTAACACAGTCAGTATTGAAGTCAGTATTGTTGATCGGATTTAGAAAACAAATCATTAAACTTCCAAGCCTTTAAAAAAATTTGCAATTGAGCGTTGTCATGAGCATCCGTATTCCTGAATCTTCTCTCCAGCCCAGAACCTGTGTATTTCCCCAGGAAGGGTGGCCTCAGGGGGTCCGGACAGGGCAGTGCAAACTCGTAGGAGTATTGATGTTTGTTGAGCTCATTACTTGATGATAGAATATTAATGATTTTCACATTCTTATGAAGAGGGCCTCTTTCCACCTTTGGGAAACTTTTAAAAATGGATGAAGAAAAAGAGGAAGAACTAGGAAATGAATTACAATTGATTTACATTTACAGAGCCACTTCTGAGCTCCCAGACATCTTTCCTTCGTTGGTAAAGATTGTTCAACCTCCCTACATGGCTCTCTTTCAATATGCATTTGATCTATACTTTACCTGAGGTTTTCCTTGCTCTCATTTCCCTTTATCCCTTTATGATGCTTGTGAATTTTGTGTAGTGCAGGGGGAAGTCGGAGGAAAAGCAACGCCCCGTATGGCATCAGCAGATTCTCAGCATACAGTTAGTTGACTGCTGTTATGTTAGCAAACAATAGTTCTGCAGACATCGCAGTGCCTTTTTTTAAAAAACAAATGTTTCAATAACTTTAGTTACACGGGTAGAAGACAAAACTGTCAACTTGCAAATGGATTTCAAATATATCAGTAGAAAATATTATAGAGATGTTATTGACTCAGTGCCTGGCTGACAGGGAGGGAACCACTTTAAGATTATTTGCTTTACCTGAAACCCTTTAAGTATTTCAGGGCGAGTATAAGCTGACAGAGGCCGGATGTGTCTGTCAAGCCCTTTAGATTGAGTTACGTTCTCAGGGCAGCAGTAGGGCTCTTACAGGCGTGAAGGAAGTCCAAGTTTGCTGTTCTTCCTGAAGAAAGCCAGAATTTTAGGCTGGTACAGACTCCCCGTACTTTGCCTCCACAGATGGCCGGCGTACTTCAGCCCCTTCTCTGGGGGCCTGGGCTTGGAGCATAGAAACACAGACCTACTGCAGGACCTAGCGTCTTCATCTTGAAACTTACGTAGCCTTTGGAAGTTCAGAGGAAGTTCCCACTGTGTTGGCGGGAACCTTTGGTTAGTAAAGATGATCACTTATAGGGTCATACAAAATAGCTGTTTGCCGTGTGGCTCAGAGTAAGTGACAGAGTAGAGCTGAATGTAAAACAGAGAGGTTTTACTTATTTTAGTTTCTGTATTCTTCTTAAAAGAGATTAAGCTTTTAAAACTCCAGGGCCAGTGATATGTGTTTACTCTAGTGAGTCTGTGCACTGCTTGCAATAGATGGGTTATGTGCCAGGACACAGGGGTATTTCCAAGTTGTCATGGCTGTGTTATTAATCCTTTGCCCTTTACATCACCACAGCTTTTCTATATTTTATTCTGTAGTCTCCAAATGGTACAGCTCCTCTTGCTTGTAGCTAATCAGTTACTTGATTCTCTTTATGATTTTCCATATAGCTGTAATGGCCTTATATTAAGGTAGGTTCAGTCAATTTGTAATTGTTAATATTTGAAATTTTTTCTTTTTTTTTAAACTCTTTAGTACTTCTTAGTTTTACTTTTAGAAATTGAAGAAGTACATAAATTGTCAAGTGCTAAAAATTGTCTCTGAGTAAAATTTTAGGAGCAGCTATGTGAAAAGTAGTAATAAAGTAGTAGTTAAGTTGTAAAGAACAAAATTGACAAATTCAAAAGTGCTTAGAAAGTTGAAATAATCAAAGTAAATCACTCATGTCCCTAGTGAATAATATTATTATCCTAATATAATCATAGAATTTTGTATATAGGTTAATGAAAAATACGCAAAGGCAGTATTTCAGCATCTTTAAAATTCTTCCCACACAGGATGGTTAATGATAAGTATTTTTCTGATACATTTTTGTATATGTCTCTGTTACCTCCATGTTGTTCTTGTTTAGTCTTATAGTGAAAAGGGAAAGTCTTTCGGTCATGTCCAACTCTTTGCGACCCCATGGACTATATGGTCCATCGAATTCTCCAGGCCAGACTGCTGGAGTGGGTAGCCTTTCCCTTCTCTAGGGCATCTTCTTAACCCAGGGATCGAACCACATGGCAGGCGGAGTCTTTACTAGCTGAGCCACAAGAGAAGCCCACGTTGTGTCCAACTCTTTGCAGCCCCGTGAACTGTAGCCTGCCAGACTCCTCGTCCATGGGATTTCCTAGGGAAGAATACTGGAGTGGGTTGCCATGTCCTCCTCCAGGGGATCTTCCCAACCTAGGATTGAACCAGTGTCTGTTACGTCTCTTGCTTTGGCAGGCAGATACTTAACCACTAGCATCACCTGGGATGCCCAGAACTAAGATGACAACAAGGTAAAATACATTGAAGATCAATCGTCAAAAAGCCTTTGTAGTGTCTCAGTTCTGTCCATTTCTCTTCTGAAATGTATCTGTAGTCTTTTCAAAGACTCTTTAGCATGCGCAAGATCTGTGAATGAATTCTAAGAATTTCAAGCTTCAGCTTCATTTGTTCCATTCACTAGCTGCTGAGTAATTCCCTTCAACACTTCACATTTTGTTTTTTTGCACTTTTTTTATATTGCTGGCAATATTATTGGTACTAAACCGATAGCCAGGAAGACCAAGTTTCTATTTATTGCTTTTTTAACACCAGTAGGCATGCACGGGGATCTCTGGTTCAAGTTTTCTCTACTCCGAAGAGAATTGTTGTTGGGTCAGCATTTGAGAATTTCAAAGTGATGTTCAATAGTCTGTATCTCAATGGGAATTTAGTCATTTAAGAAGCTTCAACTTGTGAACGTTTCCACTTTTGGATAACCTGAATGTTTCTACATGTACATATAGATTTCATTCAGTGCCTCTTCCTGCCAACCAAAAAATCTGTTTTGACAGCTTTCAGAGTTTTGTATGGACTGCAGTATTTGACAATCTTTTAAACACATTATTGCAAAATACCCCTGTTATTTAATAGAAACAAAGGTCTTATACAGTGAATCTAGTTAAAACAGTTAACAAACATCAGCTGTACTAAATCCTCACATGAGTTAGCTGCTCACTGAATTTAACCTAATTGATTGTCAAAATGAGGACAAATGAACACAAGTATGGGACTTTTCTATAGTTAATATACTGTGCTGTCAAACATTGTATATAAGCTTGTAGATGTAATTGGAAATGTGTGTACATAACATTATGTACATGTTATGTGTGCATGTTATGAGTACATGTAGTAATATGTGTCTTTTTTTTTTAAACTTTTTCCTTATTCAAAATGGTAAAGGGCTAGAATGTGTTTTGTGACTTTAAAGGCAGGATTTTTGTTTCTCTATACTTGTTTGTTTTTTCTATGAGAGAAAAAATTGAGTTTTCAGACTTAATTGTACACAAGAATAATTTGATATCCCTTAACTTGCTTGGTACAAGCTAACATGGAATGACATCCGTCATTCTCTAGTATCTCAAATCCATTGTTATTTATTTAGGAAACAATCTTTGAGCATCTTCTCTGTCCCAGGTTCTATACTAAAGACCCAGTCCATACCCGCAAGGAGTTAAAATTAAATCTAAAAAATTTATGGAGGGGCACAGTACTAATAATCACTTGAAATGAATATCCTGTTATCTTTCAAATTTAATTATGGATGGGAAATATTTTTGTTACTTTCTGCTACTTTGGTTGAGTGTACTGACA